ATTCTGTGGCTCTTACAGGGCTGGGTTCGTCTAGTTCAGAAGACCAAATTGACGACATTTGCACATTTGGATGATGGCTCAGGTGCAACGAGGCTACAGCTGGTGATACCAAATACACTACTGCAGAAGTATGTAGTTGTCACTAGAGTTCAAATACTTTTATAGCAACTAACAACTTTGTTTTCGCCAGAAAGCTAACAAACGGCTCTTCACTGTCGGCCACTGGTCGTCTGCTGCAAAGCACCGGTCACCAGCAGCCGGTGGAGTTGCTCATTGAGACCATTGAAGTGCTCGGACAGTGCAACCCGAAAACCTACGAAATAGGCCACCTCTCAAAAGACTTCAGTCTGGACTACCTGCGCGAGCGAATTCACATGCGACCTCGCGTGCGCTACTTTCAGGCGGTGCTGCGTCTTCGCTCTGAGCTGCAAAATGCGGTGCAAATCTACATGAAGCAGTCAGAGTTCACCAACGTCACGACGCCCATGGTGACGGCCAATGACTGTGAAGGCGGTGGCGAGTGCTTCACCCTCAGTCCGGCGGGAGAAAGTAAAGCGGAGGAGAGAGGCCCTACTGAGAAGCACTACTTTGGCCGTCCCACCTACCTCACCGTCTCCGGGCAGCTGCACCTCGAAGCGCTCGCCTGCAGCATGTCCCGCGTCTACACGCTCAGTCCGGTCTTTCGCGCCGAGAAGTCGATGTCTCCGAAGCACCTCTCCGAGTTTTTGATGCTCGAAGTAGAGGAGGCCTTTACCTTCTCTCTGGGCGCTCTGCTCAGCCGAGTGGAGGCAATGTGCAAGTTTCTCGCCTTCTACCTCGAGCGCCACTGTGCCGAGGATCTGCAGTACCTCAGAGCGGAGAATGGTGAGTACGGTTTTGGTCAGGCGATCTCCAGCGGCACTTACGCCCGGGTGACCTATGATGAGGCGGTAGAGGTGCTTCAGTGGATGGAGCCCTTCAAGGAGACATTTCAGAATGCCGATGAGCCGGTGAATCTCAATGCACAGATGGAACGTGCACTGGTGGAGCTGGTGGGCAATAGGCCGCTCTTTGTAACGCACTACCCTAGCAAAATGAAGCCGTTCTACATGAAGACAGAGGGAGATAAGGTGAGTGGGAAAAGTGGAAAAGAATGTCGAGTTTAACTCATTTTTTAATTAGGCTCTTTGCTTTGACTTGCTGATGCCCGTCTGCGGTGAAGTTGCCGGTGGTAGTTTGCGCGAAGACAACCTGGAGAAACTGGAGGCTAATATTGATGAGAAGATGGCGCACCAAAGTGAGGCCACCAAAGAGAGCCTTAACTGGTACCTTGATCTTCGACGCTTTGGCGGTGTCCCCCTCGGCGGTTTTGGCCTCGGCTTTGACCGCTTTCTGCAGACACTCACCGGTGTGGCCAACATCAAGGACGTAGTGCCCTTTCCCAGGTGGCCTCACCNTCGACGCTTTGGCGGTGTCCCCCTCGGCGGTTTTGGCCTCGGCTTTGACCGCTTTCTGCAGACACTCACCGGTGTGGCCAACATCAAGGACGTAGTGCCCTTTCCCAGGTGGCCTCACCACTGCTACCTCTAATTGTTGCTAGTCAGTTACAAGTATGTATCATTGTTTATTCTGTAAAAGTATATTTTTTTCAGTAAATTGTCGTTTTATATCATGATGATGAATGAAATGAATGTTACAGCCAAATGATTACAAGTGTTTTCTTCTCTAGATAAATCCTGAAGACGCTTCTCTAGAATACTACAAAATAGTGACAACAACCTGGTCGTAACCAAAGAGAACCTGGCACTTAGGTGGCAGCAGGACGCACTGCCTGTGCACCAAAGTGATAAAGTCAATGGCTCGCTCTCCTCTGAAGGTCAACTGGCGGATTTGCTGTATCTGCAGTGGCTTACTGAACAGCGGCATGTAGACGTCTTGCCAGAAGAAGGGCTCAAAGTCCATTGTCAGCGACTGGAAGACACCGGAAGCGACCACCTGACGAAGCAGCCAGTGGCGGTCGACGGTGGAGAGGGCGCCGATGATGGTGAGGTGGTCGAGTTGAGTGAAGAAGGGCACTAGCTTTGCGGGCACGTCAGTTATCTCGGCCATGTCAATCAGCTGAAGGTTCTTCAGCGAGGGCATGCCTGTGGTCAGTTGAGTCCACAGTGCTCGGCAGATTGAGGGCGACTCGAAGGTGAGATTGCTCAGCTGGAGGACGCTTAGCTGAGGCATCCACCCGTCAAGGAGGACTATCAAGCCGAGGTTCACCTCAAGATTGCACAGACTGAAACTGGTGGTGCG